TGTGAGAGTGTGTGTGTGTGTGTGTGTGTGTGTGTGTGAGAGTGTGTGAGAGTGTGTGAGAGTGTGTGAGTGTGTGTGAGTGTGTGTGTGAGAGAGAGAGAGAGAGAGACGACAAGGGCAACACCTGCTGTACATAATAGATGAGATTTAAGAGAATCTTCTGAACCAAATACACTCAATCATGATCACTCACTGGGGTTCTGGGATTTGCATATTTCATTTTTTATTGGTTTTTGGAACTGAAGGTTTCCAGGGAAACGACATCTTTGATGCTACATCGGTGCTTTATTGACTCGGACACGCCCCTTCCTGCTGATGTCACAGGATTGATGATGACCATCGTGACAATAAATGTCGTTTTTGTTTCATGCATATGAAGAACAGTCATATTTCACTCCATTTTAGACATTATTTTCATGATAATTAAAATCATGAAAAAAAAATGTAAGCACACATCAGTGGCTGTATTTGTTATAATGTCCAAAACTGAACACATGGTTTTCATAATTATATTCATGCAACAAAAAAATGTATCCAAAAAAATTATTTTTTGCACACTTTTTTGCATATGAATTTATTTGCATAAATATATGTATGCCAAAAAAATAATATTAATCATTTTTGCATACATCATATTTTACATATTTGTACTATAAGAGTTAAAGGGGGGGGAATTATATATATAAATTGGCTTTTTTTGCATAAATACACTTTTATTCTACAAAATTTTAATGGTCCTAAAAATAGACTTTTAATTTTCTGTTGATTTTGGGGTGAAATATGACCTGGACTTGTGTGTAAATATCACAGAAAGTGTCTGTCGCAACAGAATCGTTTCAGAGCCATTGGTTTGAGCCTCCGTACAGTAAGGAGCTGAATCTGATGACGGACAGCAGGAAGTGATGCGTTTCTCCAGAAGCAAACACTTTGATGTGAATGTCGTGTGGTTGTTCAGTGTCTCGTGTGTCGTCCGTGTTTCAAACCTGAGAAACAGAGAAGCCTCTTTATGCTGATGTGGGAACAGCCATGTGTCGTCATGTCACGTATGAAAGGCCAAAACTGTACACACGATCACCTCTTCAGTTCATCTGCTCACTATTTATTTCCCGGATTATTGTTGCTTAGCTCTGGTTGGGTTCAGGACCTCGTGATCCTGGACTTCAGACGTCATGGACACAAGCTGTTTGTAAATTGTCAATGAAACATCACAGATTGTATTTAGATTATTTAAATGAGAAGAATATGTACGCATTATACAACTGAAAATATACGTATGTTTTAAAAGGATGTTTGTTGTCTTGTTTTTCTGTTAAAAACGTCATTCTTTTCATGACCCTCAACATACAGGCTTCTGTCTAGTAGCTCATTTTCAACATTTTAAAACACACAAAAAAAAAAGACAAATCATCAGTTTTCACAAACCTGCCTTTGCTTAAACCATTTATTTCTGAAAGACGTTAAACTCAGTTGTTTCCCTTACCATTTATTACAAGTTTTATTTGCGAAGCCAGTGTGACAAAAAAAAAGACGTCTCACAATTCGGACTTTTATTTTGAAATTATGAGTTTACATCTTGTAATTATTTTTTTTTGTTTGGTTACCGACTCAAAAAAAAAACTAATTAAAAAGTTTTTTTTTTTATCCCACAGTTCAGACTTTTGTCTGTTATTGCTTTTTTTCTTGCAATTCGGAGAAAAAAATACATAAAATCTTGCATTATGTAAAATCTTTTTTTTTCTTTTTTCTTAGAATTGTGAGAACAAGTGTCAACATTGTGATTGTTTCATTTTTTATTCCTGTCGTGGAAATAGCTTCTATAGGTAAGAGTTTCCAAATTCAAATTATCACTTTGCATTTATATATATATATATATATAGCTCTGCTGCTTTTACCCAATACATAAATTAGTCATTATATAACCTGTCAATCACTGATGTATAAACAAACCCAGAATTGACCTCTGACATTCTATTTTATTGAAAAGATGATCTTATCTTATTATTGATTGAAATTAATGTTAAAAAGTCAGTGTTTTAGAATAAAAAGTGTTTTAGATCTTTTTGTTCATTTGATAAATTACAAAATACAACAATTATCACAATTTATTAAAGTGTCGCAAGACAAATCCAGCAAGAAACGCAGCGCTGAAGCCGCGAAACATACAGAGAATTCTAGAAAAAATATAAATAAAACTACATTAAATAATTGGCATAGTGTTTAAAGACAACAATATAAAAACGAGTATAAAACTGCAGTCGAACATCTGAAGAGAGCTTGGCCTCGTGTCGGTTCATCGCGCTCCGCGTAACGGCGTGATCTTCTTTGAAACCCGACAGATCTTTGGCACCAGGTTCCATTTCTCCTCATTGGACGGAGAAAACTTCTTCCTGTCAGCTGATTTCCTTTGTAACCTGATAAAACACATCGCAGCTGATGAGCTTTAAGATCAGCCTGACGACAGTCATCAGTACTTCACATCTCAACTTCATATCTGCAGTAAATAGTGAAAAATCAGCATGACGTTCGGGTCCTTTGGAAATACATGGGGAGTGTGACATTCTCATGACTGTGATGTGATGTACTGCATGTGATGTGATAATGTGAAGTGACGAACTGACTGATGTGATGTACTGTGATAAGATATGATGTGACATCCTGACTATGTTGTGATGACTGACTGTGATGTACTGACTGATGTTGTGATGTGATGTACTGATTGTGATAATGTGACATACTGAGTGTGATGTGATGTCCTGATGTGATGATGCGATGTACTGACTGTGATAAGGTGATGTGATGTGACGTACTGAGTGCGATGTGATGTACTGATGTGATGATGTGACGTACTGAGTGTGATGTTATGTACTAATGTGATGTACTGATGTGATTATGTGATGTACTGACTGATGTGATGTGCTGACGTACTGAGTGCGATGTGATGTGATGATGTGATGTGCTGACTGATGTGATGATGTGATGTACTGACTGATGTGATGATGTGATGTTCTGACTGATGTGATGGGATGTACTGATTGTGATGTGATGATGTGATGTACTGACTGATGTAATGTACTGACCATGATGTGATGTACTGACCATGATGTAATGTACTGACTGATGTGATGTGCTGACGTACTGAGTGCGATGTGATGTGATGATGTGATGTGCTGACTGATGTGATGATGTGATGTGCTGACTGATGTGATGATGTGATGTGCTGACTGATGTGATGATGTGATGTGCTGACTGATGTGATGATGTGATGTGCTGACTGATGTGATGATGTGATGTTCTGACTGATGTGATGGGATGTACTGATTGTGATGTGATGATGTGATGTACTGACTGATGTGATGTACTGACCGATGTGATGTACTGACCATGATGTAATGTACTGACTGATGTGATGTGCTGACGTACTGAGTGCGATGTGATGTGATGATGTGATGTGCTGACTGATGTGATGATGTGATGTACTGACTGATGTGATGATGTGATGTTCTGACTGATGTGATGGGATGTACTGATTGTGATGTGATGATGTGACGTACTGAGTGCGATGTGATGTACTGATGTGATGTGCTGACTGATCTGATGATGTGATGTTCTGACTGATGTGATGATGTGATGTTCTGACTGATGTGATGATGTGATGTTCTGACTGATGTGATGTTCTGACTGCTGTGATGTTCTGACTGATGTGATGTT